GAAGAAGAGGGGACACATGTTGATGTAGAAGAGACATGAAGAAGAGGGGACACATGTTGATGTAGAAGAGACATGAAGAAGAGGGGACACATGTTGATGTAGAAGAGACATGGAGAAGAGGGGACACATGTTGATGTAGAAGAGACATGGAGAAGAGGGGACACATGTTGATGTAGAAGAGACATGAAGAAGAGGGGACACATGTTGATGTAGAAGAGACATGAAGAAGAGGGGACACATGTTGATGTAGAAGAGACATGAAGAAGAGGGGACACATGTTGATGTAGAAGAGACATGGAGAAGTGGATTTTACATGATAGGTGACCTTTAAAAACACATACAGAAACAACAATAGTAAATGCAGTAAGTAGCATTAACAGTATTTGAGGTCACCTGACGATGTCTTTGGTCTTGCTGCCGATGAGTTTGAGGTCCAGCTGGAGGCGCAGGCCGTCCAGCGGCAGGTCCCACAGCCGGCTCAGCTTCCCCATCTCATTGGGGAAGAAGCGTAGGTTCGTGTTACGACTCACATCCAGAGAGGTCAGACCCTCCAGCAGGCCGATCTGTGGGGGGATCTGAGGAGAGGCAATACAACCAGGCATCAACATCTAGACTGTCAATCAAGTAAAGACCGCTCCCCTACCAAAGACCACTAAACTCCTTTAAGGCCTATGACTCCCTCCCTCCTCTCAAAACACTGCAGGCAAAAACAGGAAGATTGAACATGGTTTTAAAAGTTAAGAGATTTATATTTCTTATTCGAGATACCGATTGATCCGCCTTTGTTGTTAGGAAAATGGAGACAATATAATAGTGTGGATTCACTTATGATTTAAGTAAAATTGAAAACCTGTTGTATTCTGTATATTCTTGATACTATTTTTGTAATGAGACAAACATTTCATATCTTATTATCCATCAAACATCAACCTCTTGACTATATTCTCTAAAATGAGTGTTTTAATGTGCAAACCACATGTTCATAAAACCACGTCACAAGCAACTTTAGCTATTTTATGCAGATACTATATATACATATACTTATATCAGTATTTGTAAACAACTGTGACTGAAAGAATATTGCTTTTATTTGACTTTTTTATGGTTATTTCATTTTTTTTTTTTTTTTTTTTTTTTTTTAAGAAGGGGCAGGTAAAATAAGATTTTATTCACCACCATGTGCTATACAAAAACAAACAAGTATAAGTTATTCCATGTTATGAATAAACAAATAAAAAATAAACATATACTGTACTTTTTACTGCATTCATTAGTCTGATAACGATTTGTAAAGAAAAAGAAATGAGCAGCAGGTAGACGGCTCTCTACCTGAGAGAGCTTGTTGTCACTCAGGTGGAGTTTCTCCAGGCGGGTCCACTTGTAGAGCGGCCCACTCAGATCCAGGACTCTGATGCAGTTCTGACTGAACATCAGCTCTCGCAGGCTGCTGGACTCCCAGAGCGCCGGGCCGGGCAGCGCCGCGATGCTGTTGGTCCGCATGTCCACCGACCGCAGGCTGGACACATTTGAATTACATTTTTACTATTAGAAAAGGCATGCATACAATGTGTGGAGAGTCCACAGAATTGTATGAATAAGAAAAGACTTACTTTGGGAGACTAAGGATGGCCTCAGGAATGGAAGTGAAGTTGTTGTTTGCCAATTTAAGTGTTGTGATCTTGGATGGGAGGTGTGAAAGGGAACCTGGAGAGGGCAGTAAAGACATTAGTATTTTGTAGGAAAAAAATGTCATTTAATTACTCAAACTTGTATGGATATATTTTTCAAATAAATTAACTGGCACATAAAGCAAATCTACCATATATCTTACTGGCAATTTTAATAAAAGCTCTTCTTTCCAGTAAAAAATATTGTCTGTACTAGCTGATGTGGGTGTTTTGATTTTGATTTTATGTTTAAAGGGGACCTATCATGCAAAATTCACTTTTGTACGTCTTTTATACATGAATATGTGTCCCCGGTGTGTCAGGGAACTCACCAAGTGTCAGAAAACACAACCCTCTCTCTTTTCCTCCGTACCCAAATCTCTAAAAACGGAGCTGATTATTATTTGAATTGTTCTGACGTCAGAAAAGGGGTGCTCCGCCTATATGGGCAACTCTCCACCTATCAGGGGAATGAGAGACCGCTCGAAAGCGCTGGAGACGCTGTAGTACATATGCCAGGCCTGTAGGTGGCGCTGTAGTCTGCCACAAAAGCAGAATCAGCCCTTGCAAAAACAGGGCTGGAAAAGAGCAAATAGAGCGAAATGAGGCATGGCTAAAATGCATGATCTGTTTGGTATTGTTGTTGACATGTTTTATGGTAGCACTTTACAATAAGACTACCCTTATAAAGGGTTTACGAATAGTTTGTAATTCATTTATTAATTAGGTTGTGAACACTTTATAAGTCCTTAATAAGCTTTTATAAGACATGAGATAAACAGGGCAACTGTGACCGGTTGCTTGCCAAATAGTGAGCCCACATTTATCTGTACTGCTAAGCCTTATATTGGCTACTTAGGCCCCGGCCACACGAGGACGAAAACGGTCGTTTGCGTTACTGTTTAGTGTCATATAGACCGTTCGGCCACACGAGGACGACCGAATATGACAGTAAACAACTGCGGAAACGATAATGGGTCCCAAGGTCGATAGAACGGCATACGCAACGCTCTGGGGGGTCCAAGGGCTCCGTGTGTGCGCCCTATACGATCATTTTCTGTTAATGATGACGCCTCTCCCCACCTCTGCTGCTCACCCCCGCGTCAAAGTAAACTGCACACTGAATTCAGATTATTTATCTTTCTCTCGATATGGACATAAACGCGAGTGAAGTCTAATCTGACAGGACGGAGACACGCAGCTCTGCTCACCTGCAGCTCCTCCCGCTGTGATGCAGCGGTGAACGGAGCAACACACACTTCAAGTCAGATCATCGTCCCTTAGCTATTTCAATTACCTCTCAAACTACCTAAACTTGTTATAAATATGTTTATTTTTACTGTCGGCCGGGTCACTCATGGATCAGCTGCTGCATGAGACAGACACTGAAGCTGTCCGAAGAGAGGGAGGAAAAAGAGAGGCTCCGTGTATTTTATTATTATATTATATAAAGTCATTATTCATTTGTTTTAAAGCTCAATAAATAGCAAAGAAGACCTTTGACTGGCACTTTTATAATTTTGTCCGGAAGATTAAAACTTTAATACACGTTGACTGGCAAAAAACTCTGCCCGGTTCCCTCGGCCCCCACCGCGGAGAATAAACAGAAGGGCAACCATGACAACTATGCTTCTTCGCTGCTTTTGTGGAGGATGTTACAGCGCCACGTACAGGCTCTTGCATATTTACTGCAGCTTCTCCAGCGGTTGGAGCTAAACGGAGCTGTCTCGTGTGGACAGACACTATCAGGTGAACATTGCGTGTGGACGGAAGCTTTTTTGCGATTGCGTTTGCGTTAATCCTATGCGTTTAGCCGTATGCGTCCT